TTTTTTTTTTTTTTTTTAATGAAGTCTTCTAAAATTACTTCCAAAAAGATCAAGGGTAGGGGCGCCTGGCTGGCTCATTGGGTGGAGCATGAGACTCTTGATCTTGGGGTCTTGAGTTCGAGCCCCATGTTGAAGGTAAAGATTACTTAAAAATAAATAAAATGAAAGGTCACGGGTCAACTTCGCATAACATTGATGGTTCTTCCACCTGGGCAGTATTTGGTTCTCCTCTAGAAAAATAAGCCCTGTTTCACTTAACTGTCTTTCTAACTTCTGCCTCAGTAGCAGATGCAGTATCTCTGTCTACAGCAAAGGGATTGATGACAAAGAGGCCCTTGGTTTAATTTTTACTCAGATCCTCCCAGAATGTAGTCATAAAAACATTCTTGAACTGGAAACCCGGAGGCACTGAGGCCAGCATTGCTTTTCCTGCTGCCTAACAAAGCACTTATCTTCTACTGGGCTTAGTTCACTCATCTGAAATATCTCATGATAGGACTCACTGATGTTTAAACCCATGTATAGTCCTAAAATTCCAAGTCAGAAAATTAATGTTTACCTTCACGTTCTAATTTTGAAAGCCCTATTTTTTATTATCTTTTTAATCAACATAGAACGTATTATTTGTTTCAGGGGTACAGGTCTGTGAATCATCAGTCTTACACAACACCCAGCGTTCACCACAACACATACCCTGCGCAATGTCCAGCCCCTAGCCACTCTTTCCTTCTACCCCCCTCCCCTCCAGCAACTCTCAGTTTGTTTCCTGAGATTAAGAGTCTTTTATGGTCTGTTGAAAGTTCCCTTCTGATTTCTCAGACTAGAGGTGCCGAGAAGGGAGAATGTGTCTGGGGCAAGGTAGAGCAGTAGGAAGTGAGTGGGGAACCACTGGTTAACTTGCTCTACCCTTGCCCCCCACCGCAGACATCAGTCCTGCCCTCCTGGCTAGCTCTTTTTCTTTTCTTCCTGCCTCAAGCTTCTCAGCATCATCCATACTGTCCAAAAAATAGTAGCCTATCTCACTAAGACTGCCACTACACAGACCCCCATGGGCACACGTAAACACGCACAGAATTCTATACTTCTGTACTCATTTACAAAAATCTAAACAGAAACCAGTGAGATACATTATAAAGCCACAAATATATCCCATCATCTTACAGTGTGAAAAGGGCTAAAGGGAAATTTTTAATTCATTCTGAAAGTATTTTTTACATCTACAGCCTAAAAGAGAATCCCAATTCTAATATCCTTTTTTGTACTGAAAATGGGAGCATTGCAAGTGTTAATATTACTCATGTCTTGAATAAACAACTACCCCAAACCTAATTGTATATTATTGTTTCAATTAATCCAAGATGAGATAAAATCAATCTGGAAGCTGTTCCCATGAGTGTGTGTAGGTGTATATTTATACATGCTATATACACATAGTTTTTGAAAAGCAGATAGTTTTTTTAAATTTTGATCTTCCATGGTAACTCTGTTGAAATAGCAAATGTAAATTATGTTCATTAAACTCAAAGATAACGACAGCCTTGAATGCACTTTGAGCAAACCTAGATTTAATTTTCCTATTACACACACTGTTGATTTGGAACCATAAAGAAAGATCCCCATTAGGACATTCTTTCCTGTGTTCTGTTTTGTTTATTTTTAAATTTTTTTTAAAAGATTTTATTTATTTATTTGACAGACAGAGATCACAAGTAGGCAGAGAGGCAGGCAGAGAGAGAGGAGGGAGCAGGCTTCCCACTGAGCAGAGAGCCCGATGTGGGTCTCTATCCCAGGACCCTGGGATCATGACCTGAGCTGAAAGCAGAGGCTTAACCCACTGAGCCACCCAGGTTCCCCGCGATAGGATATTCTTAATGTTTGTCTTTTTTTTGTTTTAGTACTAAACTATGAATATGGTTGGTCCTCCAACTGAATGAGAATTTAAACAAACAAATCATACTTTCTTGGTTAAAACTTACCTATCAATGTATACCTATTTCCACAGGATTAAAATAAATCAGTCCATGACAACCTAAAATAAAATATTATTCTACAAATTCATTTCAGCATGAACAGAACTAAGGCATTTCAAGTCCATCAGTGAAATTGTTTTCTTTTTCTTTTTCTTTTTCCATGTTTTGGTCCAGACCAATACTGCCTGCACAGGTCCTAAAACTCAAGGCTACTCCTCTTTTGTCCTTCTTCTCATTTCATATTTCTCTTAAAAGTATTAAGGAAACTTATCTTTCAAGGTTTTAGTCTGCATTTGAAAAATCTAATTGCTTAAAATCTTAAGAGTTCAAATACGTTGGCAAAGCTTCCAGAAGTTAACGTAAAACTCTTCAGAAGAGGTCAAGGGTAAATTCTGGCTAACCTACAACAACAGGGGTGCTACCAAATCCAGACAAGCCTTGTCTGTCTTTCTCTCTAAATGTCAGGATTAAACCTTTCATGAACCTACCACGCCACTCCAATAATGACCACAAAATAAGCAAGACCAAACGAGGTATACAAAACCACTTCCTTCCGAACCCCAGCTACCTTCATCTTAGATCCTTCAAAGACTTCCTGCTTACCCTGGCTTTTGCTATGATACCCTTGTCAAGGCGGCTTCCTGGCTCTGCCTGTATTCGTAAATGTGATCTTAATTAAGGAGATGAAATCGCTTCCACATGGAAGCCATGTGGCTTAAAACGTCTTCCCACAAGAAAGGAGAGAGCACACCACACCGGTTGCTGCGCGTGACCATGGCGCAGGAGGTCTCCTTCCTTTCGCCTCTGCTCCTTTCACATGTCACTGCCATCCGCTAATCGCTGAACGCTGCTAATCTTGCCGCCATGCGGGCTGTCCCTAAAAGCAAGTGGTAGCAATTTGTTACATGTCAGAGCTATAATAAAAGCATTCCCACTTCTCCGTGGGAAGGACTTCAAAAATCTTTTATGATTTGGTTATTTTTAGAAAAGGCACTCGGATGCTCAGTCTTACTATCTGTTGCTTAAGCAAATTCCTCTAAGTGATTGTGCAAACAAGTGCAAACACTCAAAACCCTAGAAGGGAAAGAAGCAGAATTTCTACCGATTCCAGGACCCTCGCCCTCATGTTGGATCAACCCCTTACTGTTGGATACTGCTATGGTTTATGGTTTGGGTCTTTTTTTTTTTTTTTTTGCCATCATTGCTAACTTCTGATAAATATCTTTGCACATAAATCTTTTTTAAATTTAAATTTTAGCTATTGAACATACAGAGCAATACTGGTTTCTGGAGTAGAATTCAGTGACTTATCACTTACATACAACACCCAGTGCTCATCACAAGAGTCCTCTTTAATGCCCATCCCCCATCCACCTCCCTCCATCAACCCTCAGTGTGTTCTCTATTGTTAAGTATCTTTTATGGTTTGTATCCCTTTCTCCTTTATCTCTTTTCCCCCGTCCCATGTTTAGGTTTTCTTTCTTAAATTCCACATATGGGTGAGATCATAAGATATTTGTCATTCTCTGATTTCACTTAGCATAACACACTCTAGTTCCATCCATGTTGTTGCAAATGGCAAGATTTCATTCTTTTTGATGGCTAATACTCCAGCGTGCGCGCACACACATGATCTTCCCTATCCATTCATCAGTTGATGGACAATTGGGCTTTCTCCATAGTTTGGCTATTGTTGATAATGCTACTGAAAACACTGGGGTGCATGTTCCCCTTTCAAGCTGTATGTTTATATCTTTTGGGTAAATACCTAGCAGTGCAGTTGCTAGATTGTAGAAGAATTCTATTTTTAACTTGCTGAGGACCCTCCATGCTGTTCTCCAGAGTGGCTGCACCAGTTTTCAATCCCACCAATAGTGTAGGAGGGTTCCCCTCTCTCCGAATCCTCACCAACATCTGTTGTGTCTTGTGTTGTTAATTTTAGCCATTCTGACTGGTGTGAGGTGATGTCTCATTGTGGTTTTGATTCGTATTTCCCTGTTGATGAGTGATGTGGAGCATCTTTTTACGGATCTGTTCACCATCTGGACGTCTTCTTTGGAGAAATGTCTATCCATGACTTGTGCCCGTTTCTTAACGATTATTTGTTGTTTCGGTGTTGACTTT